TTTTTTTTTTTCTTTTTCTTTCTTTTTTTTTTTTTTCTTTGCGGGCGGTCCTGGGGAGGCGAGGGCGGTGGCCCGACCTCAGGGCGCTGCCCCCAGGTTCTGCGGGTGGAAGCCGCTGTCGGGCAGCAATGCCCTTGACGAGCGCCCGGGGCCGCCGTCGCACTGGGAGAGGCGTGGGTCCCGCAGGCTGGAGGGCAGGGGAGGCACTGGCCTCCTGGCCAGGTGCTACCTCCGCTGGATTGTGCAAGGATCCAGCCTCCGGCACTGAGGCCTCTGTGAGTCCCAGGACTTGCCGGGCAGGCTGGGTCTCCAGCACCTCCGACCCCACCTTGACAAACCTTGGCCTGTCAGACACAGGTTCCAGTCAGGGCTCAGACCCTGCCTGCTTTGCAGGAGTGCCCTCGGATGGAGTCCTTTCTCCGGTCTCTGCTTCCTCGTGTATAAAGGGGCTCGGTGACCCCCGTGTCACACTGGCTGGTTGGGAGACCCAAACGAAGTAACTGGGCAAGCTCCTCACAGAAACCCAAGAAAGAATGGTTCCAGACGCCGTTCTCTGGCCACTACACAAGAAACACGCTGTCCATGGAAATCTGATTCCCGGCCCCGTCCAAAACCCCAAGTGTAATACGTTCCTTCCGTTGGTCCTCACGCCCCCACCCGGGTCTGGAGCAGCAGGAGAGTGGCTACAGGGTACAACGCCCTGGTTCAGGAACACAGCCTCACCGCCTCTTATCCAACCGGCAACAGGCAGGACTTCAAGGGAGAAGTGGAGTGAGAGGTCGTTTTGGCTTTCCTCGGACACTGAGGGACGACCAAGGCTAAGGGAGCCCCCCACCCTCATGGAGAAACTTAGGCCAGCCTGTCTTCTGGCGTTTGGCCAGGACCACATCCCCGCCAAGGCCCAAAAGTCTGGAGGCGGAGCGCCCCCTCCCTCCCAATCCGAGGAACCGACCCAAACTCGGCTGGGCAAAACCAAGGCAGTTATGAGTTTCCCAACTTGGAAGCCCTTCCGCCCTCTTCAAACTTTTCCTCGAGACCCATTCTCTGCTGCCCTCATCTGCCTTATTCAGCCACCTGCCTGGAGCCTGGAGTCCCTGGGAAGGAGGGGGATGCTCAAAGCCAGACTGGGCCCACTGTCCTGGGTTTGCATATTATCACCATGCACATGTGCTCAGGCCTTCCACATCACCAAAGTCACCAACCGCTTGGCATACTCTTCTTCAATCTTTGGGGCCCAGCCCAGAATCTCCTCGGTAAAGCCCTTTCTCTTGTGCCCTGAATAGTGATTTCCTGGCTGTTACTTCCTCAACTGTTTTCAGTGTAAGGACTGGGCCTCCTGGGTCCTATCTGGTGTCAGACCTGACAGATCACCAGGGAGAGCTTACTGAAGGAATGATTGCTTGAATGAATGAGAGGAGTCATTAAGCCCATGAAGGATTTAACACCCCCTACTCCTTGGCACAAGCCTGGGCAGCAGCATTCCTGGCCTAACCTGCAGCAGCCCTCACCTAGGCTAGAGAGGGCTGGGGAAAGGGAGGGATAGGCAAGGTTGGGAAAGGTATAGCATCCTGCCCATTCAACTGGCATCAGGGACAGGCAAGTGCCACCATGTCCATGCTGGTGGGAAGAGGGTCCACACTTTTCTCCCCTGGTGGCAGAGCTGTCAGCCCTGCTGCCAGTCATCTGCTGGGAGGAACTGGGTCAAGCGGTAGTCAGAAACCATCTGCTCTAGAAGCTGGGATTATCCCGCCCTCTGCTGATCCCCCAGCCCACGGGAGCCAAGGGTGTAAATTGAGTTCTTCTAGATCACCTTGTACTTTGGAGGGGGAGCTCCCCATCCCCTCCTGGGAGGTGCAGACCTGTTCCTGTTACTTCAGGGCTTCATTTAGCTCAGGGTTCAGCCCTTCTTGTGCTGGTGACCTCAGCCTTCCATCTCAGCCAGGGATGTGACTGCACCTGTCAGTTTTGAATACAATAATGCACATCAGTGCTTCAGCCAACGCCCTCCACACAGGCTGCGAGACCAGGCCGCCCCCACACAGGAAGTTGGCTCCCTGCCGCCATCAAGGAATGGGGCCCAATGGAGAAAGCAGGAAGGAAGTGTGTCGACACTATGAATCTAGACACACACAAGATGGAGGAGGTGTCCTCCAGGGAGCGCAGAGCCCTTGCTTTCACACCATTTGGGTTTTTTTTTAATATATATATAATCCATTGCTAAGTGTCCATTTGTGACTGGTGAAATTTTCCAAAATCATAAGGCAAACCATAAAATCAAGTCTTAGAGCTCATTTGCAAAAAAGAAAAAAAAAAAATTGAGAACCCAAGTGCATCTCATAGCCACACAGCGCCTGAAGGCTGTGAGGGTAAAGACAGGGCCCTTGGCTGGGGAAGGGCTTTGACAGGGACCTGGCATTCGTGTTTCCCCCACTAGTGGAGAGCCATGTTGCCAAACATCACCATCCTACCTCACGCTTCTCCAGAACAAATCGGCATCTACGAGGATGAAGCTGCATGCCAGGCCCAAACAACATCCTGCTGCCCAGAGCACAGGAAATGGGCACCCCAAGCCTGGGTACAAAGGCCACAGCAAAGGGGAGCTCCATGGAGCAAAGGGCCAAGCTCAAACACCAACATGAAACCCACTGAACACCCAGGACACCTCATGACTTTGAGGTCACAGAGCCAAGTCCTTGACAAAACAGCTGTGGGGGGGGGGAGATTACAGGAGAACAGGTGGACAGCTCCCACATCCTGAGGAGCCCGTGACTGTCTGTGTCTAAGGTCTAGCTGTGTTCTCCAGGAGGATGCCTGGCCATCTCAGGCAGCTCGTGAGTTCCAGGACTGAGACCTTCTGCACAGTTCACCCAGAGCTGCCCAGCTCCCAGCATAGTACCTAACTTGGTGCTTCATTACGTCACTCAGGACAGATGAAGGAACTGAGGAGCCCACGTGGGGTTTGGCCAACATCCTAAAGGTCAACCATAGGCCTGGAGCTCCAGTGCAGATACTGCATCCAGCCGGCCCTCCAGCAGGCTAGTGTGTGTGCTGCTGTCCTCTCCCCAGGAATAAGCATAGGCACAAGAGGTATCTCACACTTCCTTTCCTCTCTCCCTTCCTCTTTCTCTCTTTCTTTCACTGGAGATTGAACCTAGAGTCTTGTGCTATTCTGTTGCCTAAACAGTTTAAACACAGAATCATTGTGTACAG